ATATAGCTGCAAAGCTCTCTTTATCCGAATCTGGACCCTTGTTGCAAATTCCCTGTTGCCAAAATTTGAAAAGAATTTTTAATAACTGAAGATGATTATAGGTAAATAATTTGCAAGATTACATACAAAAAATAGGAAAAACAGAACTTCAAATAAAGATATAAAATACTATCTAAATTTTATATTTAAATCTTAAAATATTATTTAAAATATTTCCAGGGAGATAAAATAAAGAAAAAAAACACGAAAAAAGGACGATGATGAATAAGAACTCGAACGCTTGTATTAATATTATTACAGTCTGTCAAGTATATAAGAGCGTGGTCGGCCTAATTTATAGAAAAATTGAGTTAGCAAAATTTTGAAATACATATATAGATACATTCTATTTGATTAGTATAGAGCTAAGATGCAATTACATTAATAATGTGTCCAGTCACCATCGGCGTCGATAATTGACTGACATTTCCGAGGCATATTTTGCACTATTCGTGCGGCAAGGATCTCCATATCTCCAACGAAACTCTCAAGATAATTGCTTTAAACTGAATATTTGTCTTTCACGAAGCTTATGCTTAATATATGCCCAAATATTTTCGATTGGATTTGCATCGGGCGACTGTGACGGCCAATCCAATTGATTGATGCCAGGTTGCTCCTTCCACTCAGTAGAGAGTCTGCTCCGGTGTTTCGGATCATTATCCTCCTGCTGGATCCAGTCTTCATTTTTTTTTTTATAAACCACGAGTTGGCAGATAGTAACAAGGCCTTTTTACAGATTTCCAAAATTTTGTCCGCATTCAGATTGTGTGTAAACACGTAATACAGCTCGAAGCCCGACGCGTACGCGGCGCTCATGCGACGCTTATGCTTTGCTGTGGCAAAACTTTAACGACAACTGAGTTTTTTTTCGCAAAGCATTAAGAAGAAAAGTATCCTCTATCAACTCATGCAAGAATCAGAAGTATAGCTTTTACCAACTGCGAGTTATAGCGACCACGTTCTTACTTGACGGAATGTAAATAAAAAAAGATTGCGCTCACCCGCCAGCAAACAGGATACTCCCAAAACAAGTCCAATCCGTCAAAGCCGTTATTTGCGATAAACTGAACGGCATGATCGATGAAGTTCTTCCTAGCGGATGGACTATTCACCAATCGGCTGTACTTGTCGCCGGCGGAGTTCTCCCATCCGCCCAACGCGAGAAGCACCTTAAGACCCCGCTCTTTATACGCTACCACCTTCTCGTAGAAATGATGTTCGTAGTCCGCCTCGTCGTTCGTCTTAATCACCAGCTTGGAATTATCTAGCACTGCAAAGCCGTACACTATATGCGTGCATAGAGTGTGATTGATGTATTCCGGCAAATAACGGCCGATTCCACGACGGTACCAGGCCCAATTTGTGAAGTAGCACACAACCTTGTAGTAGCCGGATAACGGGGATACCTTGACGGGGTCTATAATTGCCCGTGATAACATATAACGCTTGCTTTATGTCACGCTTGCAAAATGAAAAATTTTCCAGATAGACAATTACCCTCGAGCGATGAGTTTGAAATTTCCGAGGAGACCGATGCGTCTGATTTATGAGTGAAATGTACAGTTATGGACATTACAACAGCTAGAAGTATTAAAGTTATAACGCACGATAAAACCGCACGTTTCCACGTCC